GGTGGGAAAGGGAGCTGACCGTTGTAGAGGGAGGAGAGAGGAGATAAACCGAAAAACCGACAAAACCCGACATAAACCGAATCGAGAAAAAACCGACTTAATTGGTTTGGTTTGGTTCTAATATTTAAAAAACCGACTTACTTGGTTTGGTTTTTTTTTAGGGAAAAACGATCCAAACCGAACCATGAACACCCCTAGTTGTGGTTATATATTAAGTTTTCCAGATCTGATTTTTGTATGTGTATGAAGACCCACCATTGTTGAGCTTGAAGCTCCTGAATTTGAAATTTATTTTAAAGATTTATTGTTTGATTCAATGTGAGTTCCATAAAATATTGATTATAGTACCTTCAAGTAGGGGTGTACATGGACCGGGTTGGTTCGGTTTTTATTAAAACCAAACCAAACCAACTATATCGGGTTGGATTGGTTCGGTTTTGTCGGGTTTTTCGGGTTTTTTTGTTATGTGAATATTATTTCAATCTTACTTTGTTAAACTTTTTATAAGTAAATATATCTTTAGTAAAAATTGAAAAACTTGACAAACATATGATCTATTTAAATATTTTTATGGTAGCATTTGTTAATAACACATGATAGTTATTTTTTTAATCCTCTGACAATAATTTTTCGTTGATGTATACTTATAAGGTTAAACGAATTTAATAATTAAACATAAAAATCAACATGATACCTAATTAATGATAAGTTCTATTTAATTTTAGATTATCAAAATGCCACTTCAAATTTGAAAAAGATATAAGAATTTAATAAATCTTGATATATGAACAAGGAAGAATAAAGAAATTGACGCATTTCAATAACACTTGATAAGAAAGTGATCATATAACCCATTATTTAAGGTTAGTAAAAATGGAGTACTTCATATTCTATTAAATATTACATTCCATAATAGAATCCCAAATATTTCTAGAATTTTTGTAAAGAAAATTCTATATAAAGTCTTAAAAGTATATATTAAAATTATGTATTTATATGTCGGTTTGGTTCGGGTTTTTTTACTCAATACCAAACCAAATCAAACCAAACCTAGTCGGATTTTTAATCGGTTTGGTTTGACTTTTCGGTTTGGTGCGGTTTGTACACCCCTACCTTCAAGTAACCTTCCCGAATCTGAATTATTATGTGTATTTGAATATACACCATTGTTAGGCTTGAAATTCTTGAATTTAAAATTTTTATTTTGAAGATTTCTTGTTTGATTCAAAGTGGGTGTTATTAAATATTGCTTATAGTACCTTCTGGAAGTTCATACTGAAATTTGATCGCATTTGGAGCTGATTTTAGGTGATTGAGATCGAATTTTTCTGCTGAAAATCGAAGAAGAACGCAACGCTACGGTATACTATTAATATATTGTATGATTATATAGCTATACTGCAACAATATATTGTTATAGTATATAATACTCCCTCTGTTTCAAATTAAATGAGGTAGTTTGACTCGGTACGGAGTTTAAGGAAAAAAAGAAAGACTTTTGAAATTTGTGGTCTTAAAAGCTTAAGGGGTAAAGCTTTGTGGGGCCATGACTTTTGTGTGGTTATAAAAGCTTCTCATTAAGGGTAAAATGGGTAAAATAATGAGTTTAAAGTTGAATTATTTCCAAATTTAGATATGTGTCATTTATGTTGGAACAGACTAAAAAGAAAAGTAACTCATTTAATATGAAACGGAGGGAGTATACTGCAACGGTATACTTTTATAATTGAAGAAGAACGCAGTTACCTAACAGTATACCGCTAGGATATATAATATACTACAAGAGTATATAACTATACTTCAACAATATACTGTTATAGTATACAATATACTGTAATAATATGTAGTATACTGTAACAGTATGTTGTAATAGTATATAATATACCATAATAGTTTCAATTAGATACACGCAAATGTTTTCTTAAATGAATTTTTTATGGAGTTCCATGAAAATAATATTCATTGAATAAGAAATAGTTGTCGGAAGACATAAAATAGTAATATGGAAAAAAAGAAATTAAAAAAAAGTTCAATGAAATTAGAAAAGGAACGCGAAATTAAAGAAATAAATAAAAAGAAACAAAAATAAACAAAAATAAAAATAAAAAATAAAACAAAACGAGCCAAATTGAGTATAAAACTAGACTATTGAATAAAGAAAATAATAAATAATATGATTCTGGAAAAATATATGAACAGAAAAAAAATAAAAAAAATAAAAACGAGAAAAAAATAAAAGGAGAAAAGAAAGAAAAGAAAAAAAATCAGAGAAACAAAAAAGAAAATGAGAAAAAAAAATAATTACCCACAAAAGCTGAAATGGGTAAGATGTAGGGGTGTTCGTCGGTCGGTATGGTACGACATTTAGACATTTCGGTTCGGTATTTTCGGTATTCGATTTCTTAAAACTAGTGTTAGAACCCGCGCGATGCGCGGATAATTTGACGGATATTAATCTTATAAAATTACGATCTAATATATCATATTATTTTAATAAATATTAGTTATTATTTTATTATTTAATATAGTGTATATACATATAATAAAATCTATAAAAAATCAAAGGATACAAAGCATTATAGTGAACAAATAAATTATTTATTCTTTATTAAATTAGCAATTACTTAGAACTATACATTTACTAATGTGACTTTTTTATTAATTTATCAATTAGCTTAATATTATGATACTACTTCTCTTATAGTAGAATATACGTATATATTTTCTTATTCTGAAAATATATATTTTATACTTATGTTATACTGTTTGAAATTCTTCAATTGTTTATTATTTATTAAATTAGCAAGTACTTAGTACTATACATTTAGTAATGTAATTTTTTATTAATTTATCAATTGGCTTAATATTTTGAAGCTACTTCTAGAACATACGTATATATTTTCTTATTGTAGAAATATATGTTTTTATACGTATGTTATACTGTTTAAAATTCTTCAATTGTCTAAATTTATCAATAATTTTCTTGAGTATTATATATTTATATTTTATTTATTAACTATTCAAAATACAAATATTATAAAATTATCTTTATCCACCTCCTTTCGTACTTTCTTTTCTACTATAATATTTGATTAGTTTTCTCATTTTATATTTTACTGAAAATTTAAATAATATAATCTATTTACTAAATTATAAATTTGAATTCATCAAAAGTATAAAGAGATAAGCATTTTATTATTTCTATAAAAAAATATACTATATTTTTACTAATTAATAAAATGTGTTTTATATATGATATATTTCTTATGTATAATATCCTAATAGTTCTTTATATTTTTGTATTTTTCATTATGAAATTATGAGTTCTATTTATTAACTAAATTTTCCTACATGAGAAATTTAATTAGTATATGTATTTTTACGATATCATTTGATTTATTTATTTTTTAGTATTTTTCATTTATGACTAATTATTTATTATGATTTTAGTTATGTGTATATGTACGACTTTTCTCATAATAATTATAATTTTATATATATATATATATATATATATATATATATATATATATATATATATATATATATAGAGAGAGAGAGAGAGAGAGAGAGAGAGAGATGTTCCTTGGTTATCTAATTGTATTGTCCATTACTTAATATTGTTAAATTGACATATAAATTATTAATAAATAACCAATTTAGTATAGTAACTACTCCCATATATTTATACAAACACACACTACTACAACTATATTAGGAAGAAATTACTGTCCAATTTGAATTGGTAGTTTTTTATTTTTTGTTATTTTTGTTTTCTTATTGTAAAATAATTTTAAAAACTCCAATTTGAATGAGTAAAATATTTTTTTGTACTTTCGTTTTTTATTGATAATTATAAGATATCTATATTTATCAATTCAAGTAGTGTAACCAATTAATTCAAAATTTAAAATTCAAAAAAAAGTTAGTCAGAAAAGTAGTTTATTTTGTCTTAATAATGCCACTTGGCTTTTTGTGGTTAAGACACTTGTCTTAATGTAGTGTTTCTGCTTCTCCTATTCTATATAGATAGATGCTATACCAATACCGTACCTAATTAAATTCGGCATGGTTCGATTTTTCTCCTTTCAGTTTCGGTTTATTCGGTTCGGTAGCTTCGGTTTATTCGGTTTGAATACTAACTAGTGCATAGAGACATAGACGATAATATTCTTAATTAAAGTACTCGAAAGTACAAAACTAAAAACGTTTGTTGACAAAAGTTTTGTCCAAAACCAGCAAATACCAACCCAAAGAAAGAAAATTGTGCGTAAAAGAATAAATTTGATCATTAGAAATGCTTGTTACTTGCTTAGAGTTAATTCATGAACTTAGAGAATAAAGCAAAGTAAAATTTTAGATTTCTTATATTTATGTTATAACTAATAATATGTGTATTGTGTAATATAGTATATATTTCGGTACGATATCGGTATTTCGGTATTTTATTTTAAAATACCAAATACCATACCTAATACCAATTTTTTAAAAATCTTAAACCAAATACCATACCTAATACCAAATACCAAAATTTTTGATTTCGGTAACGTAATTCGCTATTTACCAAATTATGCACAACCCTAGTAAGAATGGTAATTAGTTTGGTGGATAGAAAAACTAAAGGGTAGGTAAGAGTAATTAGTTTAATTTTTGTGGGTAAAGCTATAAAACTCCCAAAAAAACAATTGGTAACATGATAAAAATACTAATTAGCCTAGTATCACAACCTAAACTACAATGTTAGCATTATAATATATAAACATATCCTAAGTTCTTTAAAAAAAAAACCTTAAATCCTATTGTATTTTCATTTATCTAATTATCACTCCATGATCCAGAAAAGAAAAAAAAATTCTCCCCATGATCCGACCGTTGGGGTTGCCACCGATGGCCAAAAAAAGTGACCGTTGCAACCCCCAGATATTCCACATTAGTTTAAATATGTAGCTATCTCCCTCTATTTCGGACATCAAAACTTATCACAATCTTCTTGCGCTCTAACTGCAATTTGCTCAAAGCTCTCTAATTTATTTATTTGCTCACAGTCATTCTGAAAAGCTTTCTTTATTTTTCTTATTGCTAGTGTTTTTTCAATTACTGTTTCAATTAGTTTCATTTTCCATCAATGGCAGAAACAAAGGAATGCCATGTTATCGTCGAAATCCCAGTAGACGAAGAGCATCAAAATATACTTGTATGTGCAATTCAACATCACCCATTAATGGAAATCTCAAAAAGCCCAGGTCATCTCTTACTTCTCAAGCTTTGGCAAAGAGAAGAGGATCTCTCCGGCCGCAGAATTGCGGCCAAAGAGACCCGAATGGACAGCATTCGAAGAGAAATATTTCAACTTTGTTGTTTTTTCTTTATATTTCATGCACTTTTCTTTACAATTTTATTCACATCTATTTCAGAAGACAACCAACATAATAATTTCGCGTGCCACAAATGGTGGATCCCATCAGTGGTATCAGTTTGCACATCATTTTTTATAGTGTTTTTGGTACAGTTGAAACTTTACAGGTTTTGGAAAGTGTCGAAACAGTTGCAAAGGGAGAGAGGGGATGGTAGAGCATTGACGAGGTGCATTCAAGAATTGAGAATGAAAGGGGGGAGTTTTGATCTGTCAAAAGAACCACAGATTGGGAAGAAAATGAAGAGCTCAAGTGTGGAGATCAAATGGAAGCCTTTAACTTGGTTATCTCAATATGCAGTAACCATTTGTCTTATTTGTTTCACAGGATTGGTGTTCCCAGCTTCCAGGCTCGTCCTCTGCGCTTAAATCAGCTATTTGGAATCGTTGCTCCTTGCTCGGGCAGAAATGGTAAACTTTTTATTCTTTCCATTAACTTTGGGTTGGAGGGCACTATGACATTCAATGTAAATTTATAATTGCTCATAGAGATTGATACGGGGGCCTAGGCTAATATTTGACTATTTCTTGAAGACATGTTTTGCTGAAGTTACCGGGTGCCGGTGTTAAGGTGTGAGTCGGCCTCTGCTGCTCATAGCAAATTGTGATATCTATTTCATTCTTACCTTTGTTTGTTTCTGGTTTTTTTTCAGGGGGATAGATACCTAGCAAGGATGTAAGATTGAGAAGTCCCATCTGTTAGACACAGAGTCGACTGGCTCGAAAAAGAATCCGAAAGCATTACATGGCAAGAACTGATTGAGATGGGAGATATTAGGGAAGGTTCCTTAATTTCATATTACTACAAGGAAGGTGCTAGCAGCGGTCAAAAGAAGAAAACAGGGGTTCTCGGTTCTGGGAATGAAATGGTACCAGCATTGAGCAGCAGCAACAACAACAACAACAACGACCCAGTAAAATCCCACAAAGTGGAGTCTGGGGAGGGTAGTGTGTACGCATACCTTACCCCTACCCCGATGGGGCAGAGAGGCTGTTTCCGATAGACCCTCGGCTCAGGAAGACGGAAGGTATACCAGCATTGAGCATGATTGAATATTCGTTTTTGGTTGAATTTGACTAAGCATGATCATAATGAAGATGAAGCCTGACCCGGCTGGCAAATTGCAAACATAATCAGAGATAAAAGAGATCCAGCTGAAGGGTACTTTCATTTTTGGTCATGTATTCAGAGAAGAGAGCTGTGCTGAGAATCACTTGGCAAATTGGGGTGCCAACACAAAGAAATTCTATTTCATTGCCTGCACATGTTAGTTAAAGCCACATTGAGGGAAATGGGCCATCTTTAAGATCATATTCGGACCTAGAGAAAGGACTTGTAAGTTAGATCCTAACTATATAATCTAATGCTAACATTAGCACTCTTTTGTGAGGTAAGGCCTAGTCCCCCTCTCTATGTACTTCATTTCTGCCATACATTTAAATTCCAACAAAAGGAAGGCCACGTATTTTTGTTGGTCATTTTTAAGAGGAATGTTTCTCTTTGACATCATGTTCTGCCTCAAATGGTGCTGCTATAATAATTTTTTTACTTCACTTGCAACATGAACAAACTACGCCCCTAATTTCTTAATAGAACAAGTACCAGCCATCGGAACCCCTACATAAGCTTTTCACCGCCATTCGATCGTGCTGCAATGACCTTAGTGTAAGAACTTTGCTCACTGTCGAACAGCAAAATTGTGACAGTGATCAAAAGAAGAGGCCCAGCTCTGTTGAGTGCTTGTAATATGAGAGCCTCCAGAGCTTAAGAGCAATCTTTACAAGGGAGAAATTCAAAAATAGCCATAGTTTCAAAAGTAATTGAAAATTAGCCACTTTTCATGTAAAGATAAATCTGAACAAAAAACACTGTTCAAAATCCGGAAAAATACTCCAGTACATAATACTGTATATGCTGAAACTCCAGTTTCCAGTATAATATACCGGTCCAATATTAATACTGGAGATTAAAGCACCGATATTATGCTGGAACACGGGTCCGCGTGAGTTCATACACAGGTGCACCGATATTATGCTGAAACTTTCCGTATTGCAGCAAAATAGTGGCTATTTTGCAATGACTTTGCAAAAGCTGGCTATTTTTGAATGACCAGTCCGAAAACTGGCTAGCCCGTGCTATTTTTACCAAGTATAAGGGTAGTCTCGAGTCTTCTAACGTCTCTTTCATAAATGTGTAAGGAACTTGCTACTTGAGTTTCAAGTATCATGTGTTACAGATAAACAAAAATACATCTGAGGATTTTGACCTCTTCTTCTCTTTACATTACTAAAAAGAGACTTCCACTGGAACTGGGAATACAGCATTTAATAATTTGGAAACACTTCCAGTGCTCTGACGTCTCTTTCATCTTAAATCCTTGAAGAGAAAAAAAAAAGATTTTTCCTTGTTCTACGCACTCTCAAAGCCAAATATGCGAAACACACCTACATGGAAGAAATAAAATTATCAGCCTCAAAATAAAGGAAAAAGGTCAGAACTTTCTTAAGCCAGAAAGGGCACACCTTCATCAGCCTGGTACTTGTTTTTGTCATCCCCAGCATAGGCAAGCAAGTTGCATTTCGGATTCCATTCCACACTGTTCATAGCAGCACGACATGGAATCTGGTGAACAGACCGTCCAGTTTGGACATTAGCCTGTGGCAAAAAATGGCTAAGTGCTGAGAAGGTCAAAAGAGAATCACTATGCAGAAGAGACTAACTGGTTCTCGAGTACATACAATGTCAATAAACAAATCTTCACTAGCAGAGGCAATGTAGTCTCCTGTGTTATTGAAACTTATTGTCCTAACTGGCCACCTGAATAACACAAATCAGACGCCTGTTTTCGGAAACTCATGTGTAATAATCAGGACGAATAGCTTACTTGAGGAGAACTTACTCAAGTTTCGTAAATGTTCGAAGACAGAGCATGTTCTTAATGTCCCAAAGGCTGACCAATGAATCAGCACTTCCAACAGCAAAATATCTGTGTAATATTGAATCAAAAGAAGGTGTAATTAGTTTAGAGGAAAATTCCTAACTCATGGTCTGAAATCATGCGCATGGTCTTTCAACAAGAGCCTTATTGACATCATAGTGCGAGCCCTATGCATGCTCCTTCGAAAAAAGCCTTATTGACATCATAGTGCTATAGTATAGCTACTAGAGTTGTCTGCGGCCTCTTTAATTTTCATTAAACCGTAGCACGAAGATAACATGCAAATTTACTTGCAAAGTATCAGGCACACCTTCCTAGTGGGTCAATTGCAATGCAGTAACAACCAGCTGTGTGAGCCATAAGTGTGTCAACAGGTTGTAGAGTCGGATAAGATAAGACTTCAACAGTTCCTGTATGACAAGCAGGAAAACTTTATTGAGAAGAGTTCATATTGGCAACTAAAGCTTTTTCTTGCAGAAGGCCAGCAAAGCAACTGCCATCTCACTAATTGTACTCACCATTTCCAGTTGTAAGAAAGAACATATCGCCACTCATGTTCCATGCAATCTCATTTACCTGATGAAGCAAAAGTGTTAAAGAATTGGAACTCTGGGGAACGCACAAAAGTGTAACAATATGGAATACATCATGCCGATTGACCGAGTAGGAATAAGACCCAATGCATCAGGCAACTACTCTTTGCAACTAATTACTTCAAGAAAAAAAGGCAGGTGACATGGTAAAGGAAGCAAGTATGAAACGAACAGAGATGATGAGCTTCAGCAAATTAGAGTTAAAGACTTGTCCTGAGAAGAAGAAGCATTTACCCATACTTGAAGAGCATCTCTAAATTTAAGAGGAAACGGTTATTTATTCATACCACAAGAACAGCAAGTTAGGAGACAAATACATGCACCTACATGATTTTTCTACATAAAGTAACTGTCAATACCCCCTTGAAGGGGAAGAGAAGATGAGACCTAAAAAGAAGAAAAATTGATGCTGTGTGACTTCAAGTCTTCTTTTAGAATGTCCAGCAGATACTCCGACTCTTAGTTATACTACAGCAGAGTCAAAACTTGCAGCAACACATCTGAGAAATTCGATTCAATTTGAAATACTCCGATCCATAGTTAAACTACAGCAGATTCAAAACTTGCAGCAACACATTTGAGAAATTCGATTCAATTTGAAACACTTGCAACACAAAGGAAAGGCCAACAGTAAGAGACGGAGATGGACCAAATGCAATAGCCTTTATACCAGCACATCACAAATCAAGTTATAATAACTTTTGATAACGGATAACCACATGGGCTTATGAATAGGCTTAAGCTTAGTTGGGGGAGAGATTACCTCGTAATTAAACTTGCGCTTATGAATAGGCTTAAATTTGCGAACATCCAATATTGTTAGCTCATCATCCTGCACCACATAATTCACCAAATTGATTTCTGTGATACGTAAATAATAGAATTCACCAATAAAACTCATCATAAAATATGAATGATAGAAAGTACATGCAATAGAAAGAGATGAAGAGTTATACTTATGTAGCATATCTGTATTCCCAGCACAGTCTTTGTGCTGGAGTTTTTATAATCACTATACCTTTCTCAAAAAAAAAAAAAAAAGAAGGGCAATTTCTGTGCTATTCTGACTACATAAATATCTAGAAGCAGTTAAAACTTAAGATGATAGAAGCAAGACGCAGTTGCTGATTTTAGGCATTAATAAGTGATAAAAGAAATAATGAGTACCCTGTTCCCAACAGCTATATGTGTCCCATCAGGCTTGTAAGTGATATTGATATTTTCCCCGCTGAGCTCAACTTGCTGTGAGCATTTCCCACCTGCCAATTGGAGACCAAATGTGTTAGCATCTGCAACACCCTCGCAATTTGACAGAAAACAAGGCTGTGAAAGTGCACGAAGAGTTACTTAACTCATAGCCCCCCCCCCCCCCC